ATCTGTAGCTTTAAATTGTTTTCAAATCATAAGGAATAAAGTAAATATGTAAAGAGACAATGCTATACATATGTTGTTGTTGTTGTTGTTTTTAGAAGCTATCAAGTCAGTTCCGATTCATAGCAACCCCAAGCACAACAAAACAAAACACTGCCTGGTCCTGTGCCATTCTCACAATCATTGCTATGTTTGAGCCCATTTGTATTATATGTATAGTATTATATGTGTATATGCTATGAATATAATACTAAGCAAGTACTTTTGCACACAAACATATACAAGAGTACTTCAATTAAATGGATTAATCTCTTTAATTGACATTTTTTTTTCCTACTAACAAGAGGGGGTGTATAAATAGCTATAAACCAAATCAAACAAACTCACTGCCATCAAGTCGATTCCAACCCACAGCAACACCCTTTGGGTTTCAGTAAATCTTTACGGTAGTAGATTGCCCAGTCTTCCTTCTGCGGAGTGGCTGGTAAGTTTGAAACGCCAACCTTCTGGTTAGCAGTCAAATGCCTTAGGCACTACACCAACAGAGCTCCTTATGAGTAGCTATAACCAAGTAAAATTTTGTCATGATATTCAATTACATATGTTTTTTATAAACAAAATCTCAAAAAACCCTGAAAATAATGTTTACATAATTATAATTACCCTTTATGAATGTTGTTGTTGTTATGTGCCGTCAAGTCAGACCTGACTCATAGCAACTCATAGCCTCCTTGGGTTTCTGAGGCGGTATCACTACAGAAGTAGATTGCCCAACCTTCCTTTGAGGAGTGGCTGGTGGGTTTGAACTGCTAGCCTTCTAGTTAGAAGTCAAGTGCCTTAGCTGCTGCGCTACCAGAGCTCCTGCCTTTATGAGTAAGACATACTTATTCAATCTGTGTGCTGAGCAAATAATATGGGAAGCTGGATATATATGAAGAAAAACGTGGCATCAGGATTGGAGGAAGACTCATTAACAACCTGCCATATGCAGATGACACAACCATAAGGGTTATGTTCACAAGGGCTTGCTGAAAGTGAAGATGACTTGAAGCACTTAATGATGAAGATTAAAGACTTCAGTATGGATTACACCTCAACATAAAGAAAATAAAAATCCTCACAACTGGACCAATAATTAGCATCATGAAAAATGGAGAAAAGATTGAAGTTGCCAAAGATTTCATATTACTTGGTTCCACAATTAACACCAATGGAAGCAGCAGTAAAGAAATCAGATGATATACTGAATTGGGCAAATTTGCTGCAAAAGACCTCTTTAAAGTGCTGAAGAGCAAAGATGTCCCTTTGAAGACTCACTGCAGTGAAGTCGGATCCGACTCATAGCGACCCCTCCTTGGGTTTCTGAGGAAGTAGGTTGCCCAACCTTCCTCTAAGGGGTGGCTGGTGGGTTTGAACCACCAGTCTTCCTGTTAGCAGTCAAATGTCTTAGGCACTAACCCAAGCTACGTTTTCAATAGCCTTATATGCATGTGAGTGGTGCTGGCGCGGGATCGGGCAGTGTTTCGTTCTGCTGTGCATGGGGTCGCTATGAGTCGGAAACGACTAGACGGCACTTAACAACAACAACAACAACATATGCATGTGAAAGCTAGACAATGAATAAGAAAGACCAAAGAAGAGGTGATGCTTTTGAGTTGTAGTCTTGGTAAAGAATACTGACAATACCATGTACTGCTAGAAGAACTAACCAATCTGTTCTGCAAAAAGTGCAGCTGCAACGCTCCTTGGAAACGAGAATGGCCAGAATTCATCTCACCTCCTTTGGCCATGTTGTCAGAGGGACCATTCCCTGGAAAAGGATATCATGCTTGGTAAAGTGGAGGGTCAGTGAAAAGGGGGAAGGCCTTCAAAGCGACAGATTGACACAGTGGCTCAACAATGGACTCAGGCATAGCAAGGACTGTGAGGCTGGCACAGGACTGGGCAGTGTTTCATTCTGTTGTACACAGAGTTGCTATAAGTCGGACCTGACTCGACGGCACCTAACAACAATAACTAACAACAATAACAACATGAATAAACATTCAAAGAAGATTAATTACATTTGTAATTCAAAGGGAGCATTACAAATATATGTAAATTCAGAAGATATCTTCTGGTTCTGTGCCCCAGAAACCTTGCTCTAGTCTACTGCTATTATTCCCATTCAATTATTCTCATTCTTATTCAGTGAACTAGGATACCAGGATATCATTTAATCAAAAAACTGTTAAATGTCAAGTAAATACTGAAAATAACTGGAAGTTAAACTGCTCATATTATGATATAAATCAGGAAGTTATCTCAACTGACAGAAATTGGAACAAAGAAAGAATTGCTCATTTTTGTTGTTTTGAACTTTTTTTTATCTCGGGAACTCTTTTTGTTTCCCTCTATTTATTCTAGGCACTTAGAATAATCAGTTGAAGAAAACAGAAAGCTCAGATTCTGTTGGTGGACACAAACACTGAAAGATGAATATATGAAATAAATACCTTCCAATAATTTTTGCAAGGTGTGAAGTACCATGGAGAGAAAAAGAAAACACCAAGGAGGACTGAGAGTTGGAATGAGGTGACTATAATTTTAAATATTGTGGTCAAGCTCAAGCATCATTGTTTAACTGAAATTTCAGCTAGGAGTCGAAAGAAGTGAAGGCGACATTAAATGAAGAATATTCCAGGCAGGGGGAATAGTTTTTTTTTTTTTGCAAAATGGTGATTTGTTTGGCACATTTAAGCAACAACTCGTGGTTGGAGATGGTGTCAGAGAGGTGCAAGAAAAAGGCCAGTCCAAGGGCCATGTAGTCTATTTTTGACTCCAGCTTTACAGTAAAAGCAAAAACCCAAACCTACTGCAATTGAGTTGATTCCGATTCACAGTGACCTCCACAGGATTTCCAACGCTCATCTTTACATAAGCAGACAGCCCTGCCATTCTCCCCGCAGAGCAGCTGGTGGGTAACCGCGAACCTTTTGGTTAGTAGTCCAATGCTTTAACCACTGTGCCACCAGACACTAAGTCAGAAAGGAAGCCACTGGAGGATTTTGAGGAGCTCTGGTGGCACAGTGGTGAAGGCATTTGACTGCTGTCTGCTAACCCAAAGGTCAGCTGCTTGAACCCACCCGGAGAGAAAAAAAAAAGAGGCATTGTGCTTCAGTAAAGATTTACAGCCTTGGAAATTCTATGGGGCAGGTCTACTCTGTCCTATAAGGACGCTATGAGTTGGAATTGACTGCGTGGCAGTGAGTTTGGGTTGGAGGATTTTGACCAGATGAGATGAGCTGATGATGGCATAGTGTCTAAGGCATTTGACTGCTTATCAAAAGTCTGGTGGTTCAAACCCACCAGCCATTCCTGGGAAGGAAGACTGGGCAATCTGCTTCTGTGGAGGTAATACCTAGGAAAGCCAAGGAGGGGTTGACTATGAACCAACTCCACGGCTTTAAGTTTGTTTTTTTGGTTTTCCTTGTAAGAGTATTTTCTGGCTGTTCTGTTGACAATAGAATGAGTGGTAGGCAAAGATGTTAATAGGGAGATCAGTGAGAAGGCCACTGAGGTGTAACTGAGGCCAGAGATGATGGCACTAACAGACAATGAGAAGTCTGATTCTGGATTTATTTTGCAGATAAAACCAACATGCTTTGTTGACCTGGATTCAGGACTGAATGTGAACATGAGAGAATGAGAGGAACCAAGGATGACTCTAGTTTTTGAGCAACTAGAAAGATGTCTTTCTGTCAACAGAGATGGGGAGACATGCATTACTGTACTTTATTGAAAGTATTGCAGGCTTGAAAATTTATTCCAGTGGTATTGCAGTTTTTTCTATTCTTTTGATTCCACTATAAACTTTTGTAGGTATTTTGGTAGAGCGTAGGAGCTCTAGTGGGGCAGCAGTTCAGGCATCTGGCTGCCTTTTTGGTTGAAAAGGTTGGCTTACTAGAACGCACCAAGACACCACGCCAGGGAAGTCGCTATGAGTTGGAATCTACTCCTTGACGGTGGGTTTGGGTTTGGATTTGGATTTGGTGGAGCTTTGGAAAAAAAAAAAAAAAAACCACCACCACCACCACCAAACTCACAGCCATGGAGTTGGATCCAACTCACAAGGAAGTAGATTGCCTAACCCTCCTTTTGAGGAATGGCTGGTGGGTTTGAACCGTTAGCATTCTGGTTAGCAGTCAAATACCTTAGGCACTAAGCCACCAGAGCTCCTTGGTGGAGCACTGGCTGACAGAGACACTCTCATATATTTCTGACTTCTTGGATATATAAAATAAACAGCTAAAGAAGTTACGGGGGTGCAGCAGGCGAGCAATGTTTATACATTTTATAGGCTAGTGTCAAGTGGATGTTCTCGGCTTCAAGCCAGTTAACAACCATTGACTCAACGATTCCGACTCTTAGAGAAAATGAAGCGTGGTCCGAGAGACGACTTCAGGGCACGATCTCTCAACTGCGACCAACTGAGTGGCGCTTGTCCGACGGCTCAGGATAGACTTTCGCTCCCCATTGCGCGTCCCAGCCCAATGTCGCGCAGGCGCAGCCCCTCAGCCCAGTCTACGGAGGGGGCGCGAGACGCAGCAGCCCAACTGTAGAACCCGAGGCAGGGACGATCCGCCACCGGCCAGCGGGCCGGCCGGGGTTGAGGAAGGGCTCTCGCGCGCTCCCGCCGGCCCTGGTCGCCATCTTCCCGGTGCGTCCTTTGCCGCGCTGTCCCCAGAGTTGGCTCTCGGCACTCCGCGCACTTCGAAGGCGGCTTCCTAACCGGCCTGTACGGCTCGAGCGCTCTGCGCGTCCCGGGGGTCGCGGGCTGGGTTCGCTGCCAGCCAGCCTCTTTTCGGGGCGGGGCTGAGGGCGGGGCCGGCCCGGCGACCACGGCAGCTGCGCGGCGGCGCGGACTCTCCAGCACCTCTCGAAAAGCGCGCCGCCTCTCGCACTGCCTGCGCGCGAGCCTGGGCGGCAAGGGAGGGGGCCAGGAAGCGGCGTGCGCGCCGGGGAGCGCAGCTGCGGGCGTGGGGTGGCAGGAGCCGCGGAGCCGGCGCCGAGAGCGGCTGCGGCCGGAGCGGGCGGCTGAGACAAAGGCGACGGTGAGTGCAGCGACGGCCCCCGCAGCTTCGCCGTGCAGCCCCTGGGGCGGGGGTCAGTCGCCCCGGTCCCCTGCCCCCGAGAGCTCCCGGGAGAGCGCGGCCTGCCCCTGCCTGCCCGGCACTGCGGTCTCCGGACTGAGCCTGCGGCTCTATTTTCAGGTCTGGGCGAGGTCCTCCTACCGGAGGACCCTGCTTTTGGTTTTTCTTCTATTCCCTCTGAGAAATTGTTATATGATCAGTTCAAAATTCCTAGCAGGCTGGCGGCTGAGGAAGCCAACTGCCTGCCTGATGTAAAATGGAAATGATGACCCCCTCCCCCCAACTTTCCAGGTCTAGGAGTCGGGAGGGTGGCAGTCTCGGCGGACGGAGAGGGCTGGGGTCCTCCAGGTGAAGGGTTCGCAGCGGCGGAGACTCACCCAGTGCAGGAGCCCAGATTCTCGCTCCGGGCGCCCGGACCGTTCCGTCGGCGGGTTTGCTGAGGTTCTTCCGGGGCCCCCGGAGAGAAACCTTGGCCACCTCCTCCGATGAGCTCCTGCTACTCTTACAGGTTGTTTTATTTCAGCGCTTGCTGCTTTAGTTTTGATTTTTGGTGACGGGTGTGGTAGGTAGTGGCTGGCTGATGCCGCATAGCTGAAAAGGAGCCCTGTTTGGCTGACTTCATAGGTACACGAAACAACATTGGGATTCCGCTTTAGCTGCTATGATTTTAAGTAATATGCCTTTGTAGGAGAATTTGGTGGTGATGTGCAGTTTACAGAATTTAAACATTTTGTCCAAGAGCTTGGCATGTAGTAGATGCTTAATAAAATATTTGTTGAATAAATGAATGCACCTTGGAAAATTAGAACTGATCTCATTTGGAGTAAAATTTAAGTCCGTACCCTCTTGACTAGGAGCTCTGGTAGCATAGTGCCTAAGGCACTTGACTGCTAACCAGAAGGCTGGCGGTTCAAACCCACCAGCCACTCCTCGGAAGGAAGGTTTGGCAATCTACTTCCATAGTGATACAGCCTCGGAAACCCAAGGAGGGGTCGCTATGAGTCGGGTCCGACTCGACGGCACATAGCAACAACCACCCGCTTGACTTAGATTAAGGAAAGAACATTGATGAACGCCATGTAGTGTTGGTTATATATGCTTCTTTTAAAAAATTTTTACTCAACACATAGTGTTGATGAATAACCAGTTATCAATATTAGGAGCCCTGGTGGTGCAGTGGTTCAACGCTTGGCTGCTAACCGAAGGTTGACCGGTTCAAACCTACCAACTGTTCTGCGGGAGAAAGATGTGGGTCTTGGATTTGCAGCCTTGGAAACTCTATAGGGCATTTTTTCTCTGCCCTGTGGCGTTGCTGTTAGTTGGAATTGACTCATCAGAAACCAGATTTTTTTTTTGAGTTTATTATCAATATTATGAATGTAGAAAATACGTTTTCATTTTGAGACAAGTTGGTAGGCAATCTCCGTTTCTTAAAAATCAGCCTTATTTCTAATATTCTTTCAGAAGAGCAGAGGAGAATGAAGAGGTGCTTGGATTGTATTTTGTTCTCTTGAGACCCATACACCCAGCTTTCTCTTTTATTATAAATAAATTCGTGTGCTTTTGAGGGATTGTGGTGTGGTCTTGAGCTGCTTTTAGAGCAAGGGAGAACTGCATTAATATAATTAAATTTCATCATTTACTTAGGAGATGTACAGTAAGGATGTACTATGTACTGGGACCTACGTTGGATGGTGAGTGTATAGGGGGAAATGAAATATGCACTTATCCTTTTTTAAAACCTTGATTTTGAAGTTGTGTACTTATCATTGTTGAAAGTGTGGTCTGTTTTACATGCTTGGTGGCTCCATAAGTTGGGAAAGATGGCAGGTGAGCTGCTGGAAGTGTAGATCTGTAAGTCTGCTTAAAGATTAATAAGTAACTTTATAGGGCAAGGAATATTGGTTTACACTTTCATATTGATAGTTTATTAAAAGTCTATCTGCATTTTAAAAATGAAGGAAGAGATTTAACAACTAGTGTTTGTATAGCCCCTTCCCCCACAGAAGACTTTGGTACAGTGTATTTATTGAAGAGTAATATACTTCTGGTTCTGTTTTATGTAAATAATCTTTGCAGTAACAACATTTTCTATTTTGAAAAAACCCCAAAGGGGAACAGTGGATTCCTTTTCTGTAACAAATGTTTTTAAATCACTTTTTCACATACTTTATTTTGACCTTCTGTTCACCATTTACAACCAAGTAACAGTATTGACTTAATAGTACTGGAAAGGGAAGGGTTATTGGTTAAGGGAGATTTGTGCTTCCATTTTTGGACTTTGCCTCTATTATTATGACTGTAATAAAACTGCTTTTTAAAAAGGATGCAATTTGTAGTATTGCATTTATTGATTCTGAATATATGAGGTTGCATTGCCTATTTTTATGTTATGTATATATTGTTTAAAACAACAATAACAGTATTCGGAGCATTGTAAGGCATACTAACTAATCTGGTTGTTCCGTTACTTTATTTTATTCCTCATGCTTATTCTGAAAACCCACTGCTGTAGAGTTGATTCTGGCACATGGCCATCCCCATGTATTACAGAGAACTTCTCCATAGAGTTTCCTTGGCTGTAATCTTAGAGTCCTAATGGTGTAGTGGGAGCTCTGGTAGCATAGTGGCTAAGGCACTTGACTGCTAACCAGAAGGCTGGCAGTTCAAACCCACCAGCCACTCCTTGGAAGGAAGATGGGGCAATCTACTTCCGTAGTGATACTGCCTCAGAAACCCAAGGAGGGGTCGCTATGAGTTGTGTCCGACTCGACAGCACATAACAACAACAATGGTGTAGTAGTTAAGCACCTCCACTGCTAACCAGAAAGTCAGTTGTTTGAACCCAACTGGTCTGTGAAATAAAGATGTGGCAGTCTGCTTTAGATTTATGGCCTTGGAAACCCAGTGGGGCAGTTCTTCTCTACCTTATAGGGTTGTTTTGAGTTGACAGTGGCAGTGAGTTTCGGAGGCTGTTTTTTTTTTTTTTAAGATTACAGATACATTTTTTGTTTTCTTCTAATTGTTTTAGGTGAAAGTTTACACAGCAAATCAGGTTCCCCTTTAGTAATTTGTACACAAATTATTTCATACGATTTGGTTACGATTTTTACATTGTGTCAGCATTCTCATTATTTCCATTCTGTTTGGTCTGTTTCCATTGATCTAGTTTACTTTCGCCTCCTGGCCTTCTCACTTTTGCTTTTGGATAAACGTTGACTGTTTTGTCTCATATAGTTGTTTAAGGGAATGTATTACTCTCTGGTGATAACATTTATTTTATAAGCCAATCTATTATTTGGCTGAAAGGTGAACTGCAGAATAGCTTTAATTCCATGTTTAAAGATTATCTTTTGGCGATGGTCTTGGGGGTTCTTCTAGTGTCTATCATCCAACACGTCTGACCTTTTAGGAATTTGAGTTTTGTTCTACATTTTTCTTCCATTCTGTCCAAAACCTTCTATTGTGTCCCTGGTCAGAATGGTTGATAGTGATATCCCAGCACCATCTAGTTCTCATGGTCTCAGGTTAGAAGAGGCTCTGGTTGACGTGGGCTGTTAGTCCTGTGAGTTAGTTTCTTCTTTGAATCTTTATTTCCTTCATGCTTTTTTGTTCCATACAGTAGACACTTGCAAGTTTTTAAGACCCCAGATGCTACTCACCAAACTAGGATGTAGAACATTATCTTTGTGAACTATGTTATGCCAGTTGTTTTAAGTTTTCGCCTGAGACTGTTCTCCCAAGGCTTTTAACCCAGTAAACCAATCCCACAAGTTGTTGGGATATGTCCAGGAAGCCTCTGTAATTGTGCCCCTGTGTGGTTTGTTACATGTGTAGATATATATGCAACACACACAGGCATGTATATACGTATGCCTACAGATAACCCTATCCATGTACTTACTCACATAGGCCTTTCTGTACACATGTGTATCCCCATTGTCTGTGTAACCACACACATGTGTTTTGGTTGTTTTTACTGTTCAAAATTGTGTATGTTATCTATTGCCTTTATCAAAATTATCCCTCTTTCTCATGTACTTGTTAGTATCTTTATTTACCTTGGTCAGGTTTTGTTGACTTCACTCATATTTAGGATTACCTTTCCATCCCAAAAATAACAAATACCTACTTTTCTAGAAAATGATTCCTCTTCCCTCTCATTCCTGTCCCTGGTCACCGTCAAAGAACTTTGCTTTCTGTGCCTGTGTCTTTTCATGACTTTTTATAATTGTGAGACCATACAGTGGCTTTCCTCTTAATGGATGCACATCACCACGCCTTTTGTTTTGTGGTATCATTGGGTGGGTTCAAATCGCCAAACTTAAATTAGTAAAACTTTGCTGTTGAGTCAATTCTGACTCATAGTAACCCTATAGAACAGAGTAGAACTGCCTCTTTGGGTTTCCAAGACTGTGATCTTCATGGCCACATATTGCTGTGTGTTTCCCGAGGTGGGTCTGAACCACCTTTCAGTTAACCACTGCATTACCAGGGCTCATGCATAAATTGTGCTACTTATGAGTTGGAATCCACTCAATGGCACACAAAAACAGGCTTTCATTATTTTATTTGACCTTTTCCCCACCCCTCTGTCATTGAGCCAATTCTGACTCATAGTGAATCTATCTATCAGATATGGTCGAACTGCCCCATAGGGTTTCCAAGGCTGTAATCTTTATGAAAGTAGACTGCCACGTCTTTCTCCCTCCCCTTTAAGAAGCCCAAATTAATGTACTCTTAAGACAATCTTGGGAGCTCTGGTAGCATAGTGCTTAAGGCACTTGACTGCTAACCAGAAGGCTGGCGGTTCAGACCCACCAGTCACTCCTCCAAAGGAAGGTTGGGAAATCTACTTCTGTAGTGATACTGCCTCGGAAACTCAAGGAGGGGTTGCTATGAGTCAGGTCCGACTAGATTGCACATAACAACAAAACAACAACAATAAGACAATCTTGATT